AAAATATTTATTGGGTACCCAACTATGCTCAACTACCAAGAGAATTGCCTAAGCCCAAGAGCTGGAGGTTGCTATGAGCTGTGATACCACGGCACCCTACTGAGGGTAACAAAGTGAGACTCTGTCTCAAAAAAATAAATAAATAAATAAATTGAACTATCCTTGGATTAAGTAATCATACTACTGGGTACACATCCAAAGGAAATAAAATCAGTATATCAAAGAAATATGTGCTCTCCCCTCTTCATTGTAGCATTATTCATAACAGCTAAGATAAGGAATCAACCCAAGTATCTATCAAATAGATGAACAGATAAAGAAACATGGAATGGACAGCCCTGTGGCTCAAAGGAGTAGGGCGCCAGCCCCATATGCCGGAGGTGGTGGGTTCAAACCCAGCCCCGGCCAACCAAAAACTACAAAAAAAAAAAAAAAGAAACATGGAATATATAAAATACATAATATCATCCATTGTGTACATAGTAGAAGACTGCTGAGCCATAAAAAAGAAAGAAATCCTGTAATTTGCAATAACATAAAGGAATGCAGAGGATGTTTATTAAGTGAAATAAACCAGGCACAGAAAGACAAATACTACGTGATCCCACTTACACGTGGAACCCAAAGACTGGGGCTCACTGACGCACAGAGAAGAGTGTGGCTCCTGGGGCTGGCTGGTGAAGGGGGGGGCAGAGTTAGAGGGCTTTGGTGAAAGGAGCCAACATTTCAGTTAGTTAGAAGGAGTAAGTCTGGGAGATCTATTTTACAACATGGTAAATACAGTTATTAACAATGTACTGCATTCCTAAAAATCACTGACAGAACAGCCTTTAAGTGTTCTCAGCACAAGTAGTTTTACATATGTGAGATAATATACAGGGTGGCCGCAAAGTCTGTGTGCGATTTTAAAAAGACAACTATTTTAAACTGCACATGGACTTTACAGCCAGCCTGTATATATGTTAATTAGCTCGATTAGCTATCCCACAACGTAAACATATTTATATACAATTTTTTTTTTTTTTTTTTTGCAGTGTGGGGCGGGGTCTGGCCTTGAACCCGCCACCTCAGGCATATGGGGCCGGTGCCTTACTTCTTTGTGCCACAGGTGCTGCCCGATATATACAATTTTTATTTGTAAATTTAAAAAAAAATCTATTAAGTGAATATCCAATGGCAGCTTCCTACATTTACTAAATGTCCATAAAGTCGTTTTCAGAAGAAAACAACTTCCTGAAGAGAAGCTATGTTTTATTTTTCCATACCTTATAAAGCTACACTCATCAAATACTAAATAAACATTTTTTAAAATTATGATAATAAAAAAATTCCAATATTTTAGGGCTTCATAGACACATTTACCAAAATAATCCAAAACGTATTTTAAGGTTCACTATCATCAAGATATCAAATATAGATGACGTCAAGTTTTCCAAGAGATAACATCTTAGAAATATAATAAGGGTTTTTAATTCAAGATCTTTTAAGATTAGGCTACAGTAGACACCACCCATAATTAAAATCCCCAGGATATAAAAAGGGTATTATTATCACTATCGTTACAAAATATTATTTACAAAATGAAAAGGTGTCTATTAATTGAGTCCTGGAAATCCAGGAATGATGCGCTGGGACAGATGATTCCAAACAGCATTCTCTCGACACGTTTTTGAGCAGTTCTCTTCTTCCCTTCTAGGCTTTCAAATTGACTAAAACATAAAACACTGCTTATCTCCCTAAAGTTATCTATTATAGAACAATGTGTCATCTCTGACTTCCCTGTTGGGTTAAAAAGAAGTAATTTAGAAACTTGACAAGCTTTTCCCAACAACATCTATTTTTGTACTAGTCATATTTTATTGTCCTAAAATAAAATTGCAGCCCTCTTAACTGTTACTTCAATAAGCAAAATATTTATTGGGTACCCAACTATGCTCAACTACTAAGTTTGGGGAAAATAAAAATGGTAAGATACAGTCCCTGCCTTCAAAGAGTGTAAAACACAGTACAATGATGGTGATTAACAAAAGCAAATGGAAGTACAACACAAGGCAAAAGATGACGAAGGCTACCGGAGAAGTTCAGAAAAAGTTCTCTTCACTGCTGACGAGACCATATTTGCTCCATTTTAACATTTAGAAACAAATTTAAATACTTACCACAGTTACAACGTGTTTGCCTGACTTTCCTAAATGTAAATGATGTCCGTATTCCTCTCTTACTTAAAGTTAAGTCTCCAACATCACTGGTGACAATTCCACTTCTGTGACCCACAGATGCCTGAACAGTATCAAATTTTCTGGGTGTGATTCTAAAAACAATAGGCAAAATAATTTACTTAATATTGTATTAATAAAAATATTTCTGGTGTTTTAAAAATATTGAGAGAAGAATTTATTACAAATATCTATTAGATTCTCTGAACTGTTAGGCATGAAGAAAAATAAAGAATTAGAAATATTTAAGGAAATTATCTTCAAAATACTACAAGAATATACAGCTAACAAGATCAATTTCAAAAAATACAAAGAAACATGATAAATTTAAATTCAATATCAGTAATTTTGATAAATATAAAAGCACTAAAAACTCCAATTAAATAACAGAGATTGCTGGACTGAATTAAAAAAATTAAACTCAACTACACAGTGATTATAAGAAATAATGCTTTATAAGCACAGAGAATGGTTGAAAGTAAAGATAAAAAATATATACATATGTAACATACCAAACATGCACTGTGCATACACCAAGCAAAACCAAAAGAAAAGTGGTACAGCTATGTTAATTAGACAAAGGAGACTTTAGGTAGTATCACTAAAGATAAAAAGGGATATTAAAAATCCTATATATTTGTATGCCTGTGAGTAATAACATAGCCTTAAAATATATAAAACAAAAAGTGAAAAAAATCTAATGGTGAAATAGACAAATACAGGATTATCACTGAGTTTTTTTGTGTGTATGTTTGTTTTTTGAGACAAAGCCTCAAGCTGTCACCCTGGGTACAGGGCCATGGCCTCACAGCTCACAGCAACTGCCAACTCATGGGGTTAAGCGATTCTCTTGCCTCAGCCTCCAAAGTAGCTGGGACTACAGGCGCCCACCATAAGGCCTGGCTATTTTTTGGTTGTAGTTGTCATTGTTGTTTGGCAGGCCTGGGCTGGATTCGAACCCACCAGCTCTAGTGTATGTGGCTGGCGCCTTAGCTGCTTGAGCTATAGGTGCTGAGTCTATCACTGAGTTTTTAATACAACTTTCTCAGTAACTGAAATCTAGTTAAGGGTCAAGAATATTAACATCAGGAAACACTAGAACTAACTCTAACATTATGAAATTGATAAAATAAGTAAAATAAAGACTGAAAAATATAAAGAGAGGAATCTAAACTATTGTGGATTGTAAGACAGTTTGAAGAAAACCCTTGGAATAAGTTCAAATTTTTGAATACGAAAAAGAAATCTTTTGGTAGGAAAACAATATCCTTTTGGTAGTTCAATTTATACACAATGAAATGCACAGAACTTAATTGTACAATTCAGTGAGTTTTGACAAATGTACACCGTCATTTAATCACCACGTCAATCGAGATACAGAACACCTCCATCACCCTGGGAACTCCCTTGAGCCTCCCTCTTCTGTCAGCCCTTCCCCACCTGAGGCAGCCAGTGGCTGACTTCTATCAGTATGATACTTGTGCTTGTTCTTGAGCGTCAAAGACAGTTAGTACTATTCTGTGTCGGACTTTGTCCACTCAACATCATGATTTTGAGATTCATCAGTAGTTTACCGCCTTGCTATGAACAAGAGTATGAACACACCATCATTTATTTATCCAAAGTTTCCTTATCATAGATATTTTGGTGGTCCCAGTTCAGGACTATTATGAATAAAGCTTCTGTGAACACACTTACACAAATCACTTTTGGAAATATATTTTTATTACTCTTGGGGAAATACCTAGGAGTGAAACTGGTGGGACACAGGGTAAGAAACTGCCAGTTTTCCAAGGTGCTTAATACAATTTTACATTCCAACCAGCAACAGAGGAGAGTTCCAGGCTGCTTAACATTCTAGTACTGTCTGAGTTTTAAATTTCAACCATTTTAGTGAGAGACAGAAAACTGTACTTTTAATTTGTATTTCCCTGATAACTAATGATGAGCATATTTTTGCGTGCATATTAGCCACTCCCGGTCCTTTTCTGATGAAGGAACTATTCAACTCTTTTGTCCAATTCCTTGTCAGATAGTGCAGATGTTTTCTCCCTATCCCCGTATGTGGCTACCTTTTTAGTTTCTTGAGACAGAGCCTTGTTCTGTCACCCCAGCTAGAGTTCAGCGACATCATCATAGCTCACTGCAAGCTCTAACACAGGCGTCCTCAAACTACGGCCCACGGGCCACATGCAGCCCACCTAGGACTGCTTTGGCTATTGTCTCTTTAGTTGTACAGAAGCTTTTCAGTTTAAGTCCTATTTATTTATTTATGTATTTTTGAGATAGAGCAGGTGTCCTCAAACTACAGTCAACGGGCCACATGCAGCCCACCTAGGACATTTATCTGGCCCACCAGGTGTTTTTGCTGCTGCTGCCGCCTGTCCTACTTAGCAGCCAACTCGTCCTGGGGCCCGCAGTCCAGCCCTCCAATGGTCTGAGGGACAGTGAACTGGCCCCCTGTTTAAAAAGTTTGAGGACCCCTACTCTAACTCCTCAGCTCAAGCAATCCTCCTGCTTTAGCCTCCCAAGTATCTGGGACTACAGGCATGCATAAAGAGAGGAATCTTGAATTTGTAGATTGTTTTTGGAAGTATAGACATTTTAACAATGTTGATTCTTCCCAGCCAATAAGCATGTTATGGTCTTCCATTTGTTAATATCTCCTGCTATTCCTTTTTTTCAATTTTTTGTAGACACAGGGTCTCTCTTTTGCTCTGGCTGGTCTTTAACTCTTGATCTCAAGCAATCTTTCCACCTTGGCCTCCCAAAGTAGTAGGATTATAGGCACGAGCCATTATGGCCAGCCTCATTTTCTTAAAAGCATCTTCTAAGGAGCACAGGCATTAAATTTTGATGATGTCTAATTTATTATTTTTTATAGTAAGTGTGTTATGAAATCCTTCTAAAAAAAATAACAGCTACTCCAATGCTGCAAAAATACCTTTGTGTATTTTCTTCTAGACAACTTTATAGCTTTTGGTTTTATACTGACATTTAAGATCTACTTCAAATTAATTTTTGAGAATGCTATCAGGTAGACCAAGTTTCATTTTACTTCTACAAAGATATCCAGTTGTTCTAGCACCATCTTTTGAAAAATTTCCCTTCCACATTTAATTGGATTCAAGCCAAAAATCAATTGAATTTATATGTGTGGAACCACCTCTGGACTCTATTCTGTCCTGCTGATCTATTTGTCTATCTGTATATCAATAAGGTATTCTTTTTTTTTTTTTAATGAGTCTCTTAGATAGAGACTCATTCTGTTGCCCCAGCTACAGTGCAATAGCATCATTACAGATCACTGCAACCTCAAACTCCTACGCTTAAGAGATCCTCCTGCCCCAGCTGGGACTACAGGAATGAGCACAGCACCGGCAGTATACTCTTGATTATATAGCTGAATACAAAGTCTTAAAAATCAAATAGAATAAATCCCCCAATATTATTTCTAGATTGTTTTGACTAGACCCAACTAAAAAGGAGCATTCAATAAAATTCAGCATCCCTTTCTAACAAGAACACTTAAGAATATAGGCATTGGCAGCGCATTTCTTAAACTGATTAAAGCCATCTCTGACAAACCCACAGCTAATATTATACTGAATGGAGTAAAACTGAAAGCTTTTCTACTCAGAACTGGAACCAGACAAGGTTGTTCCCCATTGCCACTACCATTCAACATAGTGCTGGAAATTCTAGCCATTGCAATCAGACAAGAGAAGGAAATAAAGGGCATCCAATGGGCACAGAGGAGGTCAAACTCCCGCTCTTTGCCAATGATATGATTTTATGCTTAGAAAACCCCAAAGACTCACCCACAAGACTCCTGGAAGTAGTCAAAAAATACAGTAATATCTCAGGATATAAAATCAATGTCCACAAGTCAGTAGCCTTTGTTTACATCAACAATAGCCAAGTTGAAAAGCTAATCAAGGACAAAATTCCCTTCACAGTAGCTTCAAAAAAATGAAATATCTAGGAATATACCTAACAAAAGAGGTAAAGAACCTCTACAAAGAAAATTATGAAACCCTAAGAAAAGGAATAGCAGGAGATATTAACAAATGGAAGACCATAACATGCTTATTGGCTGGGAAGAATCAACATTGTTAAAATGTCTATACTTCCAAAAACAATCTACAAATTCAATGCAATCCCCATTAAAATATCAACATCGTACTTTCAAGATCTAGAAAAAAATAATTCTTTGTTTCATATGGTAATAAAAACAAAATGAGGAGGATCACCCTACCAGACTTTAGGCTATACTACAAGTCCATAATGATCAAAACAGCATGGTATTCGTAGAAAAACAGAGACATAGACATTTGGAACCAAATAGAAAGCCATGAGATGAAAGTAACATCTGCCAGCCACCTGATCTTTGATAAGCCAAACAAGAACATACACTGGAGAAACGAATCTCCATTCAATAAAGGTACTGGGAGAACTGGATAACTACATGTAAAAGACTGAAACTATTGATTCAAGATGGATAAAAGATTTAAATCTAAGGCATGAAACAATACAAATCCTCAAAGAAAGCACTTGAAGATACCGGCCTGGGGAAAGATTTTATAAAGATCTCTGTGGTGGTTGCAACAACAACAAAAATAAATAAATGGTGGCTCAGTGCCCACAGCACGGTGGTTATGGTGCCAGTCACAGACATGGAGGCTGGCGAGTCAAACCCAGCCCGGGCCAGCTAAACTACAATGACAACTGCAACAAAAAATAGCTGGGAGTTGTGGCAGGCACCTGCAGTCCCAGCTACTCAAGAGACTGAGGCAAGTGAATTACTTAAGCCCAAGAGTTTGAGGTTGCCACAGCACTGTATCAAGGGTGACATAGTGAGACTCTTTTTCAGGGGTCTTCAAACTTTTTAAACAGGGGGCCAGTTCACTGTCCCTCAGACCATTGGAGGGCCGGACTGCGGGCCCCAGGATGAGTCAACTGCTAAGCAGGACAGGCAGCTGCGGCAAAAACACCTGGCAGGCCAGATAAATGTCCTAGGTGGGCCAAATGTGGACCGTGGGCTGTAGTTTGAGGATACCTGCTCTATCTCAAAAATACATAAATAAATAGGACT